GCAAATCAAAGCGAAGAGCTTCTCCAAAATCATGTAAGCATTGTTATCGAGACTCTTACGAAATTGGGGTGGCTCATCAATTACGAAAAATCGATTCTCACTCCGGTAAGGAACATTACCTTTCTTGGGATTCACTGGGATCCCTGGTCGAACCTGAAATGTCTGCCGAAAGACAAAATCTTAATACTTGCACAAAAAGTGGGTCAGATGATACGAAAACGGCATACGACGCTGAAAGAGTTGCAAAGTCTGGTAGGCTTTCTCAATTTTGCCAGCTTTACTGTTCCCAAAGGCAGACTAAACTATCGAGGCCTCTTAAACCTTCTCAATCAAATTTAAATTCGAACCCCAAAAAATTGCATATGATACCTCACATCGCCTTGGACAACTTGAAATGGTGGCTTTTGAATCACAAAAAATCGTCACCGATTCACATGGCACCACCATCTCATTTCCTAGCAACAGACGCTTCGGACATTGCGTGGGGAGCTCGCTTGGACAATCTGTCGTTGACCGGACTTTGGTGACAATCCGAAAAGAACCTCCATTGCAATCAGAAAGAAATGTTCGCGCTATTAAAAGTCTTAAAAGGTCTCAGCTCCTGAAACACAGCACTATACTGATTCAGAGCGACAACAAATCCGTAATATCCTATCTCCGTTGCGAGGGAGGAACCAAATCGCCTGCGCTCTTAGACTTGACGTATCAGGTGTACCAGATTCTCGAAAATTATCATATTAAAAATGTATTATATTCCGGGAATATACAACTACCATGCCGATCATCTCTCGAGGTTACGTGCAACACCGGAATGGCACCTGTCCCCGGAATGCACAAACAAGATTTTCACCAAATGGGGAATGCCGGTAATAGATCTGTTTGCGTCCAGCCGAGCAAATGTGGTAAGCAACTATGTATCTCTAGATCTAACAGACAATGAAGCCCTGTTCCACGATGCCTTCTCACAAATTTGGAGGTACCGTCTAGCCTGGATCTTTCCTCCCCCGTTCTTAATTTCGAAGGTTCTAAGCCACCTCAATCAAGCCCAAGGGATATACTTGATAGTAGTACCACGTTGGAATCAAGTCTTCTGGCGCCCGGACATCAAAATGCGTGCCCTAGCCCCACCGTTCACACTACACCACCTAGACAAAGTCCTGATCGACACTGCAACGGGACACCATCCTCCGAATGTCAAAGATATGACTCTAGAAGTGTGGAAATGTGGGGGTGGACGGGGATGCTAGATACTTGGAATGACAGTCAATTAAAACTTCTCGTAAAGTCCTGACGTCCTTCAACGCGAAAAGTTTACAGTGCTGCATGGAAACGGTGGCTTACCTGGTGTAATATACACCAAATTAATTATTCTGTGCCTAAAGCAAGTGATTTAGCAAGATTTTTATCTGATCTTTATTTAATTCACAAATTATCACACAGCTCGATTTTGTTGCACAAATCGGTAGTTTCGAATCTATGCAACACAGAAATAGCCGGCCAACTAAGTTCTCATGTTTTAGTGAAGCAAATTTTAAAATCGATAGCTCTAGACAAGCCGGTTAGCCATGCAAAATCTTCTATAAAGGAATATAGACGACCTTGTAGCTCATCTTAAGACAAAATGCATTGATGAAAACAACTGTTTTCAAGTTCAAAGACATACTGCCGCATTGTTATTACTTTGCTCAGGAAGAAGAATACATGATTTGACTTTACTTACAGTTGATGCAAATAACTGTTTTATAAAAGATAACGAGATAATTTTTTGGCCTAAATTCGGATCAAAAACTGATTCCGCTGAATACTGGCAGTCTGGCTGGAAATTGATAGCTAACCATGATAATGAAAACCTGAACCCAGTTTTTTTGGATAAACCAAACAATAGTCATTCTGAACGAGCGTAGAGTGGCCGCCCGTTCTAGTTATTTGTTTATGAATATTAGAAACCAACCGCGTCCAGCGTCAAGAACTATCATTGCTGGTTGGATTAAATCATTGCTTACGGAAGCCAAGATAAAGGCCACTCCGGGAAGCTTTAGGTCTGCAGTTGCATCAAAGAATTGGCTGGATAATGTTCCCGTTGAAGAGATACTCACCAAAGGCAATTGGAGTTCTCAAAATACCTTTTATAATTCTATAAGCGAGAAGTAAGGCCTCCGACTAATCATTCCTCTATAACTTCTTTGTTTAATCCAATTACTTGAGAGTAAAACTGATTTATTTATTATATATATATTTATTTTTTGTTTGAAATATAATTTATTTTTTTCTAATAAATTTTTATTATTTTGTGTTCCTTTTATTCTAAATGGATATTCTAAAGATTCGATTACATTGGCGTCCTATATCACGTCCACCAGGCGATAACAAACATGTCTCAATTAAATAAGCTTCGAATAACGGTCAAGTCAAATTAATAGAGGCGTTTTACCTACCAATAAAACGCTTATTAATTTACTTACCTTATTCGAAGCTTATGAATCACCTCTGCCTGGTAATTGAAGACTCAATGAAGTTTAAGCAACATAGTGCTGCAGTCGTAAACTCTAATTCAGCCAAGCGGATGTGACGTCATAACCAAGAAGGAACTAAAATACCGGAAGTTACGAGATGTTTCAGGTGGGAAATATAGTGCCTATCTCAATTAAATAAGCTTCGAATAAGGTAAGTAAATTAATAAGCGTTTTATTGGTAGGTAAAACGCCTCTATTTAGATCCGATTATCCGATTTATCGAAGCCGATAGTGATATTTTTAATATCAATATTGATATACTTTATCACATTCGTCATCCCTAGGCAGTGTTGCCGACTATAACAACTAAAAAAATGACCCTAGAATCAAGATGAAATGAAATATCTCTAATAGTACGAGAGCTAATAGGAAAACAATAATTTCAGGTAGCCAACCCTAAATGCAATTTTCAAAAGCCCCTAAAAATTCTTATTTCTTAAGGCCTCAAGCCCTGTATTGTATTCAAAGATATTGTTTAAATGAGTTTAAAATAAATATAAATAAGTTTTAATTACTTTTCTTTTCAAATAGTTTAAATAATTAATAAAGCAACATAATATTAACTAACACTTCACTAAGTACATTCTAATAATTAAAATTCTAATTCTATTAATAGGCATTTGGCTTTTTTTTACTCATTTTGCTTGGTTAACATAGTGATGCATGAAATATTATTTATGCCCCTAAGAATGTCCCTATAATTTCTTGCACCTTAAAAAAGCCCAAAATGCATATTTCTACCTTAAGGGGCTAAAAGCTAGAGGTGGGTCGTTGTCCAACTTTTTGACGGGCGTAATGCAGCCGTCGTTGTCGCGACGAATGAAACGACTGCAGATAACGGTCATCGTTGCAACTGTCGCAGTCGGTTTAGAGGAGAAAACTTATCCAACGCGAAATAAAAATACGTTTTCGAAGTTTTCGACGAGTAAACAGTAATTGCAGTTTTTTATTCCTTACAATATTTATAGGAACTTTGCTGGTTTTCATTCTCCATTGGCGAAATAAAAGTTGTTTTTTTCGTTTTAGATGGTTCCTCAAATAATCTGTTATTCATCTAATGTTTAAATTTACGTGGTATAAATTAAGCTTTGTTATTTTCTTCAAATACTTAAAATATCCTACTCACTTTATATTTCCATTTGATTTAGAGGAGTTCTGCGATGTATCTTCGTAAATTAAGGTCCATTACCAATGAAATCGATATGAGACCGCAATTGAGTTGAATCGAACCCAAATAGAAAGAAAATTTTTAAAATGGGTTCACAAATGTCTGAGTTCTGAGTAGAGATGCGCAAAACAGTGCTTCAAAAAGTAATGTGATGTTTATCACATCACCCATCGAAGTAATATCACTCAAAAGCATTACGCATTACATTACGCAGTAGGTCTATACTGATGATGTTGCGATGTCATTACAGTAACATCCTAGACTAAAGCATATTATGATTTTAATTTCATTACTAATACGTACATAAGGATTAAAGCGTATTGTGACTTTATTTAAGTGTAATAAGTATATGATATTCTAAATGTAAATATTAAAAATAGAGGTAATTTCGCAACTTATTATTTAATTTTAGTTATTCCGTGTTTAATAATGAAACGTAATATTCAAAATAGCCTAGTTAAAAATACAGAAGGACAAAGGCGAAGGAAAAAGCTTAATATCAATAAAAATCTATTCGTCAATGATTGTCAGTTTACCTAAAGAAATTAACCTTGAACTATCTGAAGACAAATTTGAAAATACCGTCAAAAATTAATTTCAACCTTAATATCATGCAATATTAGCTTGTTGCTTGTAAAAGTTAGTAACGTCGAAAAAAAATCTTATTTATATTGCATTACGGTCGCGATTTTATTGAAAGTAATGTAAAATATTATTCACCTAGAGCGAAGGCGCGTAATGTGATGACCGCCCGACTCGCACACGCATGACATTCTTTTCGTATTCGGCGATCGCGGAACGCGAAGTAATGCATGCATAAAAAGTGATGCTCGCCATACTCGCGTAATGGGTAATGCGGTATGACATTGCTAAGTAATGTTACTCGAGTGATATCATCGGCATTACTTACACATCTCTAGTTCTGAGGTAACAAACATAAAATAATACAACTGAATTGAGAAACACCTCCTTTTTTAAGTCGGTTGAAGATCGCACTTAAAATGTTATATTTTCTAAAGTTCTAATTTTTTAATATAATATAATGGATTTATAAGTCTAATTTTTAACAACATGAAAATCATGTTGAAATTTTTTTAATTTATTCATTTGTCTTCAATTAACAATGTTTTTATAGAGAGTTTTTGAACGCTGCAGTTGTTTTGACAAATCCTAAATTCGATAGCTAAAATGACGTGGAGAACTAGGTTATAAGTTTGTTGTATTTTATATTTACCAATTATATTCAATAATAATTGGTCTTAATTAACGCCCAACAGGGCCCTTGTGCTAGATTAAAGAAATTTTTAATATTTATAGAAATGATTGAGATATCGGACACCCAAAGTAAGTATAACATTTCTTAAAATGAACTGTTTTCATAGTGTTAAATAATAATTTAAGGTAAATCAATTATAATTTAAACCCGTAGATGGAACTTTCCGTAAACATTTTATTCAAACGACGCTTTTTATCGTTTGATCAAAATATTCTTTTTGTGTTTGTGACTTGTTTTCAAAAATCACTCGTCAACTATTCTATACTTAGTTTTATTAGGTTCCATATTAACGTAATTATTAATATTTTATTGTTACGTGAATGGTAATATGGTGCAGTATTTAAAATTAAATTAAATTCTTATAAAGAATACTAATGTGAGCCTCATTAAAATCCATTTAAATTGTATGTAAATTCTTGACATTGTGAGAACTTTACAAAATTTTGGTAACCATGGATGATTTGTTGAAATGTTATAGATATTGTACCATTTATTCTTGTGTAGAGCACTTAGAGCTGTTCCACAAATATTAAAATTAAGGAGCACACCCAGAATTAGAACAAATTTATTGCAAAAGAATTTATTGCACCTACAACATGGCACTATGTTAGTTGGCAGGGTGATCTGATAAATTGTTTCGCTTATGGTGCCATCTGACCTCTATGAACAGCAGTGGTATATGGAATAGCATGTTTAAGTTAAAGTTTCTTTATTTGCTGATAAATAGGTTAGTACTTGAATTAGTTTCTTTTATTATGTACTAGCAATCTGCCCCAGTTTCGCACGGGTGTAATGTTGATTGTTTGTTTCATGAATAATGTTTGTATCAGTGTTTCTCTATTATATTATGCACAAATTAGACATATAAACCTTCCTCTTGAATCACTATCTATTAAAGAAAACCGCATCAAAATCCGTGGTGTAGTTTTAAAGATCTAAGCATATACAGCGTGTCGTTACCACCGCGACAATAAATGAACACACATATAGATAATAACTTTTTAAAATTGTATTAAACATTTACATTCTTTAAACATCAATATTTACCGAGTAATTAAATTTTCCAAAACAAACAATTTTAGAACACCCTTACATATAAAACTGTAATGTAAAGTTCATTTGTAAAGGTTACAAAGCATATGAATGGGTTGAATGAATTTAAAAGAGACAAAACATACTGTTAGAAGGAGAGGCTTGTAATGCGACGCTGTGGCGCGAGTTGTATAGGATGTTATAAATTTTGTTTCTTTTTTACTTAATAGATTGTTTGAAAAATATTTTCTTTTTAATTTTGGATTTTGTTTAAAGTTAATATTTTTTTATGATTATTGGCAAGTAGCGTTAGACGTGTGTTCATTTATTGTCGCGATGGTAACGACACGCTGTATAGGTACAGATAGACAGCGGGACAACTTCGTTTTATACTGTAGTGATAATATTCACATGAATTCAACAAATCAATATGGAAGGATGATGACAAATCTATATTTATAATGAAATTTTCATGAATTGGAAAAGCACCATCATCCTATCAGATTATACTGTTGTTTTATAATTTTTTTAGTTTCTTATTATATAGCTTTATGTGAGAAGGTTGATGTCAATTTTGAATGATTACTGCCATCAATAGATAAACATATAAACGTCTATTTTTGGAGTTGTTGACGAATTGGCAAACAGGTTCCAGGAGAAAGGCCTGTGAACTCACTCCACAGATGGATTGCAAAAGTATAATACTTCCACTTCGCACGGGTCTTCTGTGAGGCTGTGGTACTTATTGGATGAGCCTGCTTATTTCTGCAACAGCAGAAGCTAGTGCATGGCCTTACCACAACATGATGTATGATAACAACATGAAGCTATGTTAAACTGCATTTTGCTTTATATAACTAACTGAATAAATGGGACACACATTATTATTATAATCATTTTGCTCACCTTGTACGAAAGAAAATCAAGTTCATAAAAATCTGGGTGTGCGCTTAATTTGTGAAAACAAATAATAAAAATAGAAAAAATGCATTACGTTATGTAAATCAAATGATAATACAATTTGTTTTACTTTACAGAAATCGGGGTGGGCTTAGCCGGCTTCGGAATGACATTCCTGTTCCTTGGAGTATTACTGCTCTTCGATAAAGGCTTGTTGGCCATTGGGAATGTAAGAAATCAATTGCATTTTGTTGAGGAATATCATACTTGACATGTACTCTACAACTTACACAGCGCCATATGTGTCTACATATATTCTATTTTGTTGATCATAGGCATTGTATATGAAAGTGATTCAACAGTGTACAGCCAGCTCCCAGCCTCTTTGGGTGTGTTGTTTATATCAGGCTATACTAGTTTCAGGTCATCTACCCATCTCTGGTCTTGAAATGTTTAGATCCAGTTAAAACACAAAAAAAGATAATTAAGAAGTTACGTCCCCTATAATTTAACTGTAACATCCTTCGCATTTCACTCTCTGTCTGATTGTTGCTTTAATGTAGTTTGTTATCATAAACCAGATGGATATTTACACCAGAGATTTAGCCAATTGGATTTGAATCCAAGACCACGTAAAATATCTGGGCTTTGTAAGTTTTATTATATAAAAGTATCATGCATACTACATTATTGTATATGGTGTCTTCTTTCTAAATTTATTCAAAATACTTTAAGCAGTGTTGGCGGAACATTGATTGAGCAAATGCACTTAAATAAAGTTTTAATTTATTATAAGCAAGATATACAGGCAGATTTTTTGAGAAGTGCCCAAATTTACACAGGAGGTTCAGAATCGATAGTATAATCGTTTATTTTAATAAAAAACAACGTTTTTTTTTCCAAAAAAAATGCCATTCTATTCCCTAAAAAACAGAACGTGTTGACAATGCGGTAGTCATTCATAAATACCTAATTTACTGTGCACGAATTTGTGTGCGTGTTAGTTATGAATGATCGCGCGTAAAATAAATGAGTTGTGTATAAATCACGCACTTTTTCAAATTCAAAGTCAAAGTCAAAGTATATTTATTCAATATAGGCCTAACTTAAGCTCTTATTGAACGTCAACAAAAATCTACCACCGGTTCACTAAACTAGACCTGCACAGAGAAGAACCGGCAAGAAACTCTGCGGTCTTGTTCTTTTTGTTATATATATATTTTTTTAATGCAATTATACACACTTATTTGGGTATAAAATCAGCAGCAGCCAGGGGCCTTGCAAGTGCAGAGCAAGAGTCATTTCCAAACATCCTTGTCCTCTATGTATTCTTGGATATTATAATAAGCCCTTGCCATTAAGGTAGCTTTTACAAATTGTTTGAAATTGTTTATACTTAGTTGTTTGTGGATGTCACCTATTTTATTATAAAAGTTGATGCATCTTCCAAGAAACGACTTTCTGGTTTTAGCTAATCTAAACCTCGGTACTTCCAAAGTGTCACCACGGCCCCGACGCGATGTGGATTGTTTTTTCGTAAATACGTCGATATTATTACGTACATACATGATGTTCTCAAGTATAGCGACGGGAGCGTCAAGACGTTTATTTGCTTAAATGTATGTCGTAGCGACTCACGTGGACCCAAGCCATAGACGGCCTGTATAGCCTGCTTTTGTAATACAAATATTGTGTCTAGACCGGATGCGGAACCCCAAAGTAAGACACCATAGGACATTATGCTGTGAAAATAAGCATAATAAACTAATTTTGCAGTTTCCTCATTAGTTAGCTGCCTGATTTTGCGTATGGCAAAGACGGCAGCGCTCAATTTCTTAGCTAACTTATCTACATGTAATCCCCATTGCAACTTGGAGTCAACGCTTATTCCAAGAAATGCTGTTGAATCCTCAAGGGGTAGGATTTTCTCATTAATAGAGATTCCTGATTGGTGACACAACTTTGAAAGAGTAAATCTAATACATTTTGTTTTATTGGAGTTCAAAAGTAAATTATTGTCAAAAGTAATTTTTTGAGATAAGTTCAAAAGAATGTAATCAATTACTTAAGAGTGATTTTAAATATTTATCATTTTTATAGAACATTATTTATACACTTGGAAAAGCGACCCTGTATTGTGCAACTAAGAAACTTCCAAATTTCTATAATTTTATACTGTAATATGTTAATCTATGTTTTACAGATTTTGTTCATCAGCGGCCTAGCTTGCGTTATTGGCTTGCAGAGGACGTTTTTCTTCTTCTTCCAGCGGCACAAAATCAAGGCTTCCGTCGCCTTCTTCGGCGGCATTACAATAGTGTTGCTCGGATGGCCAATGATTGGCATGATAGCTGAGATATACGGGTTTCTGCTGCTGTTTAGGTGTGTAGGGATGTCAATTGTGCGATAATATACAACCTTTTCACAAAATAAATAGAAAACTTTGGTGTGCTAGTGTCATCTACCTCGTATTTGTATGTAATATCATAGGTTATGTGATAATTATAAATTTAATATGTTGCGGCGGCCGCTGTATTACTTTAAAAATGGCGGCATTTATGATCGTGCATAGTCACGAGAACCAAACAGTGTTACCATCTGTTCAAAATAAAAACTCTTAAATGCAATAAAAAACCCACTAAAATTCACTAAGTTCAAAAAAAAAAACCTCCTAAATGTTTCCCCGAAACCCGTGTGGGAATCGAACCCATGAACCTCGACGGTGAAGCCCCAACCAAATCCGTTTTTCCTTGGCAAATCCGTTCGCAAAAAATTGGCCGTGGAGTCATCAAACGCTCTATACTGCGTACACTCTGCTCTTTTTGATCGGTTTTTTTTTCTTCTCCAGAGGATTCCTGCCAGCTGCCATAAACTTCCTAAGAATGGTGCCAGTTCTGGGCTCTCTTCTTAATTTGCCTATCATTCGGGGGGTGAGTATAGAGGACCGCAGAAGAGCACGAGTGATTTGACGAAATTTGGATATGAAATTAGAAAAAACTAACACACACACACACAAATGCATTTACTCTCCTGTGAACGCAATAAAAATAAACGCGAATAAAAACCTTGTTTGAATTTGGAAATTGCAATACTTTGACTACATAGCCACTACGCAATCGTTGTTTATCCATTGTTTTATCTTTCCATAATTGGTTTAATTGGTATTACGTCATATATAGCCGTGATAGCTTAGTGTCCGGGCGCTCGACTTTAATTCAATATACTCGAGCAACCTGAGTTCGATCCCCGGTGCCGGCACCAATGAAATTTTTAATTTCAAGTGCTGACTTATCATGTGCTCCGCGGTGAAGGAAAACATCGCGAGGAAACCTGCATATTTTCGAGATAATAACAAAAAAAAATGTTTCGAAGATACAGGCTGTTACTTTACTTTACTTTTACGTCATATATAAAAGACAGGTCAAATGATTAAAACGGCAAAATGGCGGGAAACCATAAAGCGGAGTCAGCGGTATTCATATATAGAGTCAAAACATTTCAACCCAACGCAGCTAAAATACATTGAAATGTAATTTACTTTACATAATTTACATTAAAATCGAATATTTTCCTTTCACAGATCGTGGAAAGGATAGCGGGTGACAATGGACGCAACATGGTATGATAATCAGTTGCCATACGGAAAAAAGGACTTTTGTTTTAAATGTAATATATTTCCTACGTGTACATTTTTACCGTGAACGTGAGTGAGTGGCTCAGTTTGTGTATTTATAGTTCGACGCAGTGTTGCCATGTGGAGAAATAATAAAAATAATCGTGACAGGTGGTACATTTTATTGTTTTATAGTTTTGTCTTCTTACAGTTATTATCGTAAAGTCTAGTCCGAATACAACTATAAGATTACGCGATTGGTGAAGGGTATGCTCATGTTTATTAGAATTTAGAGTCGCTTGACAGCTTTTTTTTCAAATGTCTTACAATTTGTATGCGGCCTTATCGTTTGTTATTATAAAATATTGATAGACTGTTTTGGCGGTTAAAAACTATCGAAGTCATCATCGTCGAGATGGTTGATCGACAAATTTTCGTCTTAATTCGATCAGTACGCTGGAAAATATCAATAAAAACATCTAGTGATGCACGAACAAGTTATATTTCCAAGTATTACTAGACCTTAAACACTGTTTGCGTGTATAACTTGATGTCATATATGAAGTAACAGTATATATGAAAATTGTGAAGTGTTCGGTTGTACATCTTTACTCTAAGCATTTATATGTGCGAAAACGATAAGTTTTTATATCTAAAGTGTTTTTAATGCGCCAGTTGACACCTGTAATTTTTATATGCCTAATAACTTCACTTTAAATATACGGCCTTTGCACATTACAATTTTATTTATGTATAAAATGCATTAACGTCATAAAGAGTCAAAAGCAAAATCGTTAAATTTTTTTTTATTACCGAGTGATTTTCTTCAGTAATAATCTATGTAATCCTTATCTGTGGTCTGAAAGCGCGCGAGCTTATGTCAAAAATTGGCTTGCCCTAAACAATTTTAACTCTTTTACGAAGATCTTTTTAAGATCTTATAGGTAATAAAAATTGTCATTCTAAGCATGAATAACTTACGATTTATTCAGGAATTGATGTTTAAATAATCCTAAGGAAGTCGCCCAACTTTAAAGTTACTTAAAACTTATAACTTAGCGGGCAAAGAGCTCAAGTCGAGATATGTTATAATAAATGCAGATATTATAACAACTTAAATTAATATATATTTAAATAAATAACCTACTTTAAGACAAAAGTACCGTGTGTACATTTCCTTTTATTGCGAGTACATTTTCATCGAGCTTCTTTCCTAATTTAACTCGAAATTAAAACTTTTAACACTTATAAATTTTTTGCAAAGATTCTTTTTTGTCGGGAGAATGCGTGCAATAGGATAGATAATAATTAATACTGATAACATGTAAAAATAATGTACATACGGTACTTTAATATTAACGGTGGGTCAACCAAATAGTTTATATACAATGTTTCCATTTTAAATTAATTAAATGAAATTCGAAGTTATCATGTTATTTTCAATTGATGAAGGTAGTCTTTCACCTCGTTGAGTGGTAATACTAAAGAGCCGTGGGTTTTTGTCGTTTTATCTATTACATACATTTCAATTCATCGGTTTGTTCCGTTAATCAATAATAATAATTTTTTGTATGGGATGTCTTTGATTTATTAAATATTTGTAATGTATGTAACTGGGGTATGGCCACGCAACAGTCTTCTCTGTTGCACAAATGGGCAGGTTCGTCTGGATAAGTACCACAGCCACACAGAAAACCGGCGTGAAGCGAAAGTGTTATACTTCTGCGTTTCGTCTGGCGAGTGAGGTAGACGGGGCCCACTTTATTAAAAGGTGGCAACGCATCTGCAACCCCGCGGGTGTTGTAAATGGCAATGGGCGGTGGTTATCACTTAACATCAGGTTCATCACTTAACGCCAGCTAGTTTGCCATTTTATCACATAAAAAATGTAATATACAATGTGCATAAAAGTATTTTGCATATAAATAACACTCCCTCATCCACCCTCTTTTCGTTTCGAATGTTTATAATATAATCCATAACGATTACATAGCTCCGCGATGACAGTTTTCCCCTTGCCATTGGAACTTCGGATAAAAACATTCCTGTTCAATTAGCTATTTTGTGAACAAAAATCATCTGATATTTTTTGAGTTTTCTGGACACGAACATACACGTAAGCTAAACTTTTATATAAAGTCTAGAAGACAGAAGTTGTACTGTACACGCATAAAATCCAGTTGATTAATTTAAAAAAATCATTTTTAGTCGAACGTAGTGTGAATCTAAAGCATTCCGGAATCCATTTTAACACAAAAAATTCCTCAAAGTCGGTCCAGCCGTGTAGAAGGAGTTCAGTACATGCACATACACGTGATGACTCCGTGACGCAGTTGCCAAGGTATTGACTTTGGCGTCGGGAGTCGTGGGTTCGATTCGTGGACAACTATTTGTGTGACCCATAGATAGATTTTTCGCGTTTGGGTGTTAAATTTCACGCGGACGTTTGTCCGCGTTAAATTTATGTTTGTAAAACGTCCTAACAACACAAGACAATGTTATCCTAAAGTAAGGTCAATGTTTTTTAAAAAATAACTAAAAAAAAACGTGTTCACGCTAAATTTTATACTTTCTTTTAATACTACAATAAATCTCCTTTTAAAATCTTAATTACCTACTTTAAATAATGCACGAACCAAGCATACCTACGAGTACATAATTATAATGTATTGCGATATAAATGTTTTATAGTATTGACTTGTGGCATACGTTAAAAAAATGTTTGCTTTAATAAGTTTTATAATTAAAGGTAAAGATGTTTCAAAAGTCAGAATCAAAATGGCGAAATAAAATGACCCGTATGAAAACTTAGGCTGTTCTATGGGTTTCAGTCATATGTCCATCGTTGCCTTCTCTATGTACTTACGTGGAGGCAAAGCGTGAGATATATATAAGACACATTTTTAGGGTTCCGTACTTTAAAAGTAATAAAAAGGTGAAAGAGTGATCAAATAAGGATTTTATGTGATAACACTTTTGTCCGTCTGTCTGTCAGAGTGTCACCACCGATTTCCTCAGGAACAGGTTACCGCGTTCATTAGGATTTTCGCGAAAATTTGTAAGAACCAAAATCTACCTTAATTTTTAACTTTTTTCATTTTTCGGAATTTCAATCTAATCTTTTTATCATGTTGACTCAGGAACTTGATCTTACACCTAATAAGGACTATACAGTTTCGGGTATAAATTTCCTTATTACGTCCACCCGTTCCTGAGAAAATCGGTGTTGATTATTTACTGATTTTATTACAGCGACATAATGGGTAGGTACTATTTTTATGTGGAAATGTGGCCAGCGAGCAGACGGTTCACCTGATGTTAAGTGATGACCGCCGCCCATGGACGTCCACAACCTCACTCAGCGGAAGAAGCGCTAAAGACGCAGAAGAACGAAGCAGAAGTATACAGCGTGTCGTTACCATCGCGACAATAAATGAACACACATATAGGGGATAACTTATTAAAGTTGTATTAAACATTTAAATTCTTTAACCATCAATATTTACCGAGTTATAAAATTTTCTAAAACAAACAATTTTAGATTTTAGAACTCCCTTACGTAAAGTTCATTAGTAAAGGTCACAAAGCATATGAATGGGTTGAATGAATTTAAAAGAGACAAAAAATACTGTTAGAAGAAGAGGCTTGTTATAAGACGCTGTGGCGCGAGTTGTATAGGATGTTACAAATTTTGTTTCTTTTTTACTTAATTAGTTTGTTTGAAATTTTTTTTTTAATTATGGATTTTAATAATTTCTTGTATTTACGCGATTACACATTATAAATGAAACTAATTTTACGGATTTATCGCGTTTATTTTTAATTTTAATTCCCGACGTTTCGAACCCTTTACAGCGTTCATGGTCACGGGACAGACTGAGGTGTTAGACGTCTGATTGTCATAGTTAACCCGGGCTACCGTCAGTTTTTGAATTATTAATTTTGTGTCCGATCTATGCAGAGGGAGCTAATTGTATCTTGTCTTGCAGTAGTGGTTCGTTTGGGCCTAGATTTAATTTTATTGATGACAGGATCCCAAGCTGATGGTAGTACCCAACCTTCTTCTCTATTGAAATTAGGGTGTTTTTTAATTTCAATAGCCTCGCGAATCATCCTTGGGAGGAATCGGTGTTCTTTTGCAAGGATCTGTGGTTTGTCAAACCTGATGTAGTGGTTGGGTCTATTCAAAATGTGCTCACAAACTGCAGACTTGTTTAATCTATTGTGTTTGATGTCAGCTATATGTTCTTTCACGCGGGTTTTTATTGCTCTTTTCGTTTGACCTATGTAAGAGAGCCCACATTCACAGTCAAGTTTGTACACTCCTGGATCTTGCAGAGGGATATTACACTTGACAGATGGTAAAAAACTGACTAATCTTCTTCAGCGGCTTGTAGAATGTATTAATTGAAGCCTGCTTTAAGATATAGCCAATCTTGTCGGTGACTCCTCTGACGTATGGTAGAACAGCAGGTACTCGCTCCACTGTGGCTGGTTTCACTCGGTCACTGTGACGTAGGCGCGGTGCTCGAAGCTTGTTGTCATGCAGAACTTGCTTGACATGTTGAAGCTCAGCGGCCAGGTGTTGTTTTTCACAGATTCCTTGCGCTCTCTGAAACAAAGATTTACCCACGGTAGCTAACTGGGATGGATGGTGGGTGAGAATCACCGTTTAGGTATCTATTTGTATGGGTTGCCTTCCTATACACAGTGTGACTTACAGTGTTATTTGGATTGCGGATGACCAAAACATCTAAGAAAGCTAAAGAGTTATTATGCTCTAATTCCATAGTGAATTGTATTTTGGAATTTACTGAGTTAAGGTGGTTTAGAAATGCATTAACTTTACTTGTTGGTAAAATGGTGAAGGTGTCATCTACATACCTCTTGTAAAACCTTGGATAAATGGGAGCTGTGCGAAGGGCCTTCTCCTCAAAGTCTTCCATAAATATGTCAGCGACAATGGGAGATACTGGGCAGCCCATTGCTACACCATCTATCTGTATGTAAAATTCCTCCTTCCAAAGCAAGTAGCCGGATGTTAGGCAATGTTTAAGTAAGTAATGCTTACTTTTCCGGCATGTTATTCTCTTTTAGCTTTCTTGTTACAATTGAGATGCAGTCTTCTAATGGTAGGCATGTAAATAAAGACTGTACATCAAAACTGACCATTGTTTCATTGTCAGCAAGACATAGTTGTTTTTTATCTCACTAACAAAATGGTAAGAATCCTTTGTGTATGCCCTTGTGTGTCCTCTCAGTGGTGAGAGAATTCGTACTAGATGTTGAGCCAGTCTGTAAGTTGGTGAGTCGATCTGGCTTACAATAGGGCGTAATGGTATGTCTGGTTTGTGTATTTTAGGCAACCCATACAATTTTGGGGGTTTAGCACATGAAGGTGTCAATTTTGGGGGTTTAGCACATTAAATCTAGACGTGAAATCGATGACACCTTCATGTGCTAAACCCCCAAAATTGTATGGGTTGCCTAAAATACACAAACCAGACATACCATTACGCCCTATTGTAAGCCAGATCGACTCACCAACTTACAGACTGGCTCAACATCTAGTACGAATTCTCTCACCACTGAGAGGACACACAAGGGCATACACAAAGGATTCTTACCATTTTGTTAGTGAGATAAAACAACTATGTCTTGCTGACAATGAAACAATGGTCAGTTTTGATGTACAGTCTTTATTTACATGCCAACCATTAGAAGACTGCATCTCAATTGTAACAAGAAAGCTAAAAGAGAATAACATGCCGGAAGAGTATGCATTACTACTTAAACATTGCCTAACATCCGGCTACTTGCTTTGGAAGGAGGAATTTTACATACAGATAGATGGTGTAGCAATGGGCTGCCCAGTATCTCCCATTGTCGCTGACATATTTATGGAAGACTTTGAGGAGAAGGCCCTTCGCACAGCTCCCATTTATCCAAGGTTTTACAAGAGGTATGTAGATGACACCTTCACCATTTTACCAACAAGTAAAGTTAATGCATTTCTAAACCACCTTAACTCAGTAAATTCCAAAATACAATTCACTATGGAATTAGAGCATAATAACTCTTTAGCTTTCTTAGATGTTTTGGTCATCCGCAATCCAAATAACACTGTAAGTCACACTGTGTATAGGAAGGCAACCCATACAAATAGATACCTAAACGGTGATTCTCACCACCATCCATCCCAGTTAGCTACCGTGGGTAAATCTTTGTTTCAGAGAGCACAAGGGATCTGTGACAAACAACACCTGGCCGCTGAGCTTCAACATGTCAAGCAAGTTCTGCATGACAACAAGCTTCGAGCACCGCGCCTACGTCACAGTGACCGAGTGAAACCAGCCACAGTGGAGCGAGTACCTGCTGTTCTACCATACGTCAGAGGAGTCACCGACAAGATTGGCTATATCTTAAAGCAGGCTTCAATTAATACATTCTACAAGCCGCTGAAGAAGATTAGTCAGTTTTTTTACCATCTGTCAAGTGTAATATCCCTCTGCAAGATCCAGGAGTGTACAAACTTGACTGTGAATGTGGGCTCTCTTACATAGGTCAAACGAAAAGAGCAATAAAAACCCGCGTGAAAGAACATATAGCTGACATCAAACACAATAGATTAAACAAGTCTGCAGTTTGTGAGCACATTTTGAATAGACCCAACCACTACATCAGGTTTGACAAACCACAGATCCTTGCAAAAGAACACCGATTCCTCCCAAGGATGATTCGCGAGGCTATTGAAATTAAAAAAAACACCCTAATTTCAATAGAGAAGAAGGTTGGGTACTACCATCAGCTTGGGATCCTGTCATCAATAAAATTAAATCTAGGCCCAAACGAACCACTACTGCAAGACAAGATACAATTAGCTCCCTCTGCATAGATCGGACACAAAATTAATAATTCAAAAACTGACGGTAGCCCGGGTTAACTATGACAATCAGACGTCTAACACCTCAGTCTGTCCCGTGACCATGAACGCTGTAAAGGGTTCGAAACGTCGGGAATTAAAATTAAAAATAAACGCGATAAATCCGTAAAATTAGTTTCATTTATAATTATGGATTTTGTTAAACGTTAATATTTTTTTATGATTATTGGCAAGTAGCGTTAGACGTGTGTTCATTTATTGCCGCGATGGTAACGACACGCTGTATATAAGTATAAATATATACTTGAGGTATTCTCGGCGATACGTCATATTTTTCAACCAAATTCAAAAGACGCTGGAAAGTTTACGGTGGTAGAGCCACACAGCAGCCTCGGCTGTTGCACGAATGGGCAGGCTCGTCCGGGTAGGTACCACTACCTCACAGAAGACCAGCGTAAAGTGGGAGGATTTTACTTTCGCGTTTCGTCTAGTGATTGAGGTGGCCGGAGTCCAATTTTCAAAAGGTCAACGTATCAGCGAAACCTCGGGTGTAGCAGGTGTCCATGGGTGTTATCTATCGGTGGTATTAACTTAACGCCAGGTGAACCACCTGCTCGCTTGGCAACTGTTCACATGAAAACAAAGAGGAGAAGGTTCTAGGTTGGTTTCTTTTATTTTTGTTACCTCACAACTTTCGACTGGGGAACCGATTTTGATGATTCTTTTTTTATTTGGAAGCCGGTGCTTCCCATGTGTTCCCATATTAATTTCATTGGTATCGGATCTTGGGCTCCGGAGATACTTGGGGAACACCTGAAAATCAATTGTAAAATGAATGCAGAGCGAGATTTGAGGTCGGTTTTGTTTTTCGTTATAAAAATGACTTGTTCAATACGAAGAGCTTTGGCAAGCGAACAGGTTCCCCTTTATTTTTTTTATGTAAAAAAATGCCAAAGGCGCATCAGCGGTGATTATTATTTTTAAAAAAATGCGCCCATCGACATTTACAACACCTGACGGGTTGTAAATGTAACGCATTACAAAAGTGGTTAAGGTTAGCTTTACAAAAGTGGGCCCCGGTTACCTCACTCAAATATAACGCGAAAGTACAACACTTCCACACCACGCCGGTCTTATGGAGGGCCATGATACTTACACGGACATGGGCCACAATACCACAATGGGCGTGCAACGGCGGAAGTCGCTACAAATTTTGTTTCCGAAACGCTGTATATTGTATATTAGGTATAGGGATTCTTCCAATCTCTAATAAGCTGCAATTCTCTTTCGCAGGATGGCGCTAATTCGTGACACGAGAATAGGCCTTGAACTGATAGCAAAATTTTAACGACATTCTAAGCATTCCGAATTAAATCATAACTTTTTATTAAAAACTAAAAATGACTTATTTTATTCCTATATCATAGATAATTGTATTTTGTTACAGATAAAAAAAATAGTTGTTAAAAATATGTTTACAATTACAATGTTTCATTTTTATATTGCACAGTTTGCTAGTCCTTGTAGACTTGGACTCGAAGGCCCTCTTCTTTATGATTTGTTGATAGTCTTGAAGACAAGAGAGGCCATTAATAAAAGAAGTAGTCTTGAAGACATAAATGATATGGATAGGCTTTGACTGAGCTGATGCCTTCGACACCAGCTTAAATGGTAGTCGAAAGTTCAGCCAAGAGTTGAGGCTCAGTCCGCTGTTGTAGCTTCTTCGTTGCAGCCTGTGGTAGAGGCCTAAGTTCACCGTACTTACCGGCTGTGGTAGGGCCACGCTTCGCTGTTGCACGAATGGGCAGGTCCGTCTAGGGATTTACCACGACCTCACAGAAACCGGCGTGGTGTGGAAGTGTTATACTTCTTCTTCACTTCCGTTCAGGTACACCGCCAAACACCCGCGTTCTGGGTGCAGAATCACACGCCTCATCTCCTGTCTCTGTCTACCTTTTTAGGATTGAACATGATATGCTCGTGCGAACTTGACTTTTATAAATTTTTTATGTTAGGACGTAGCAAACGAGTTGGCGGTTCACCTAATGTTAAGTGGTAACCGCCGCCCATGGACATTTGCACTACCCGTAGGGTTCCAGATGCGTTGCTACCTTTTAATAAAGTGAGCTCCGGATATCTCACTCACCAGACGAAAAGCAGAAGTGTACCACCTCCACTTCACGCCGGACTGCTGTGAGGTCGTGGGTCAACGGACGGGCCTGCCCATTAGTGCAACAGAGAAGACGTTGCGTGGCCCTGCCACAGTGAAATGTCGGCGCTCCGTCTCTTTCTACTTTTCAGGGTTGAAGACGCGAAGCTCGCGCGAACTTGACTTTAATGCGGCAATACATCACACGACGCGATAGCGATGACGCTGCGGTTGCCTTGCGTGACTGCTGTTGCAGCTAGGGTGACCATTAAGGCCGCGGTGTGGATATTTTTTTATGTGAAAAGTTGCCAAGCGATCAGGCGGTTCACCTGATGTTAAGTTAATACCACCGCCCATGGACATCTGCTACACCCGGGGGTTTGTAGATGGCTGACAAACTTGAAAATTGGGCTCCGGCTACCTCACTCACCAGACGAAACGCGGAGGTATTATACTTTCACTTTACGCCGGTCTTCCGTGAGGTCGTGGTACTTACCCGGACGAGACTGCCCATTCGTGCAACAGCCGAGGCTGCTGCATGGCCCTCCCACCGTATATACCCACGTCCCGCCTTTTACTGATCGTTTCGGTCAGATTTGTCCTCCTCATCGGCCTTTGTAGTAAGGGTGACAGTTTGCGCCTCAATTTTGCGGACATTCCTATGTCTGGTCGACGGTTTTGCAAACGTCTCCGCAATGAAATGAGTGCTATGTAGCGGCAGGTTTTAATAATACGAAGATCACAAACAAAGTGGACCCAAAGACTGAACTGTTCGTGGTGCACACAAATTTTTGCCAATTTCCTCAGGATCTTCGCGGGGCTTCAAGCGTTGCTGCCCGAACGCAAACGCTCTTTGGGCCCTTTTTGCTTCTGGTCAAGGCCAAACCTCAACAGTTTGGTCTTGACAAGAAGCGAACCTAGCCGGCAGTGCCGGGTTAAGGAAGCGCGGGGCAAATTTTTTCAAACAGCCCTTAATCTGCTATGGGTCACTAAGGGGGAAAAAACAATTTAATACTATTTTGTTTAATAAGTTTAATTAAATGATTAAGGCTCAGACAGAGAAGACTGGGTTTAAATATGCGTGGCCCCCTTTTGGCGCGGGCCCCGTAGCAATTGCTACTCTAGCTACGTGGTTTATCCGGCACTGCTAGCCGGTAGCCCCATCTACGATTGAGGAACATTTTGACTCTCCTTCAGGATCTCAAAGAAGGTGGCTACGGCTCCACGCCGTATCTTAAGCTTCGCCGACACGACTGGCAGAGAGGAGTATCGGCCAATTCGCTTTACCACGATACTCCGTTCTACTTCCTACGCTGGACCCACCGCCAGTTTCTACGCAGTTCTAGTTCCTACAACGTTGCAAAGCAGTTTGAAATCACCCCACGTCCGACCCTACGCAGATAATTACCCAAGCACCCGTGTCCACGTATCTTCCTGTTGAATTTACGTCTACCTTTTCCTAGAAGCATCCCGGATTCCAAGATCGGCAAGGGGGCTTCCATGAAATGTTTGCACGCGTATCACGCCTGGTAGAGCAATTGAAGAACGAAAACAGTTTCATTTACTACTTATTCTTTTATTTGGTTGTAAGAATATTCCAGTCACTAAATACTGTAATTATTTTAAGGCGTAAAAGTAATGTATCCCGTTGCAACGTGGTCACCCCACTGTTAAATGGGAATGCACGTCCAGTAGCAGCTAAGGCGGTAGAAGCGCTGATAAGCAATCACGACGGTATAAACATCACTTTGAATGCGCCAAGGAATTTATAAGTTTTATATTTTCATTTGTTAAACGCGACAAGGCTTAGTGGCAATTTCTAAAGACTGTTTGACTGCCGTTAGCGGGTTCAAAAGATATAGAGGGACTGTTGGCGCAGTCCCGATTACGTTATTTAATAAAGTTGCATTTTACCAATTAATTGCAAAGTACTTTGTTTAAATATTCGATATTCAACTTTCAAAACAGAGACGTAATTACACATTAATTATTCGACTTATATAAAATAAACAACGCCTTCGTGGCGCAGTTGCCAAGGCTTCGGCACTCGTGGTCATAGATAATTGTTGGGTGTTTGTAATGTTATCCTGCGTTAAACAGTATGTTATCTTGCCAGTAATGGGGTGTTATTTTCAAAGGGAAGACTACAATAGTTACTTCTAGGTCCCAGTGGTCGTTGGGATTTATTATTAAACCCCTTCCACACCTACTATTCAACATCTACCACACAAAATACGAAACACAATCGAATGTTTCACACTAAAATTCGGGCCAAACGTACCTTTTTAAACTTTGTGCGACGAGAAAACATATCACCTAAATAATGTTTCTTCCTCATGATTATGTAAAAGCTTCATTGTGAGGCACGCATCCCCCCTAACCCCCCTAACCCTCCCTAACCCTCCCTTTGGGGAGGGGGGGGGTGGACAATGCACGCTGAATTCTTTAGCGAAGATGTGGAAATTTCTTCATGTTTTTCGGGACATCGTTTATTTTTCGCTTTTAAAGGCGATTTTCTTGTATTTAAAGGAATACCGCGCGCGATTAAATAAAACTAGTCTACGGATATGGCAATAAAGTCCGTAAAATAGCTTTAATGAAACAAAATATCTGATGAGAGGTGAGTTGGTTATACTTAGATGGTGAGCAAAACATATTAGTAAAGTTTGAGGAGTTCGCCAATGAGATTAATCGTTTGTTATGTAGTAGTAATATTAATGAAATTAATATGAGACGACATGGGAGCTATTCCGAACCCGATGCTATATTTTTTTTAAACTCCGTTCAAACATGACGGAGTTGCGAGGTAACAAACATAAATAGACGTCCGAAATTATGACCTCCTCTCCTCCTTTTTTGAAGTCGGTAGAAAACGAGATAACTAGATATTCCGTTTTCGTGTATAATACCGCTAAGAATAATGCACCATCTTTAATATAAATTACATTCAAGGAATTTGTTTTACATTCAATTTTAATTTGTAGTCTGTCATGCGACATTGGATTATGTAAAGTGTTAGAAACTTTGAGAACGTCATATATTTGAAAAGAAAAACTTTTTGTTGAAAATCTTCATACTTGATTATCTAAAGATTTTGTACGAACTCTGGTAGACTCTACCTAAATTTCGTACCGTGTTGAAAAGGTTTCACGCAAATAAACAGGCATTTGTCGTATTTTTATCCCAATTATATATATTTATAATTCGTAGTATTATAAATGGCTCCGTGGTGCAGTCGCCAAATATTATCTTCTGCGTCCGTCTAATTAACTAAGCGTCTATCTAAACCTATTCCCAAAAAACCGAATCTTAATGATGTTAAAGACTTTCGCCCAATAACTATTCTGCCGTTCTTGTCCAAGATCTTGGAAAAGGTTGTTTGTTTGCAAATGACAGAACAATAGGGTTTCATGAAATTCCATAGCACTGCGACAGCCCTGATAGATGTAGTGGATACTATCCTGACGGCCTAAGACGCCGAGAAGGGCACTTTGTTAGTCTTGCTAGACTTTTCCCGTGCTTTTGACACAATTGATATAACACTGCTTTTGTCTCAATTAGCGTACGTCCGCAATCATGTGGTTTAATAGTTATTTAACTAATCGTCTCCAATATGTCAAATTAGACAATGAAAATGGTTCCCCAATAGTGGCTTCCACTATGCCGGTTAATAGAGGTGTTCCGCAAGGTTCGAATCTGGGTCTTAAAGTATTAAAGTATTGTATTGGTCTTAAAGTATTGTATTGGATTCGTGAATGTCTTACGGTGGATATGCGCATCAGGTCAAAATCAAAATAAAAAAATATATTTATTCAAAAGACGCTTGCGCGCTCTTATGAATCGTCAACTTTTACATCAAAGTTTGTAAGGTACCACCGGTTCGGAAAGCAGTTTCTGTTGAGAAGAGAACGGCAAGAAACTCAATCAGGGTACAATATAATATACAGGTATAATAGTCTTATTCTAGCCTACGTGAGTATCAACAGTATTAACTCCACACATTGGCGTCGTTGAGATATTCCGAATGGAATTTTTTATTTTACATTTAAATTGGTCAAGCGGCAGACTTAATATCGACTGTGGGATTTTATTATACATGCGCACACCTTGCCCCATGAACGACCTATTTACTTTTTGCAGACGAAACAATGGTGTAATA